ATTTATGAGCGATCCAGACTCTCAGCTGAGGGAATGTGTTTATCTGCTAACATGCTGAGCTGTGCGTCACTAATAACACTGAATGAAGCCGTGGAGTTACAGCATCACACGCTGTAAGCATCACGTTGCCATGGAAACCAGACATGTAACGCCACAGTTGATTTTGAAATGCTGCACCTTAATAGATATCTACTTTATTACTTTCTATGTGGACTTTTTGTGAGTGTCATCGTCTACTCGTAGTTTGCAGCCAGCTGACAGACCTTCCTGAGAAAAACGCAGCTAAAGTCTGGATAGGAAACCGTATTTAGTTCATCGCACCGAAAACATGTCGGAACATGACCTCAAAGCCGAGGTACGTGCTAAACACGGAGTTCATTTTATGCGAAGGGGTTTCAGTTTGTCCTGCCAAAACCCGAAAACCCACATTTTACTGTGATGTGGAACAGAGCACATGAAGAAGTCACATTGAAGAAGCTGCAGCCGGGAAATATTTACTTCTTTACTTCATAAAATACCCTAATTGACAGATCAGCTGTCAGAGTAGTTGTTTCAGTCTGGACGACGACATTCAGACGCCACCACTACATGGAGACTACATGTACATGTGTAAGCCCAGACTCTCCAATACGTTGGCAGATGGAGGATTTAAGTAAGACAACAGACACACAGATCGACCAGAAGGACACCAGCTGGAGATGTCTTTATGTCTGCGACCAATGGACAGGACGCAGACGACTGAACAAGGAACAGAATTTAACATGAAAATGAAAATAAGATTTTTTTAAAAAGGCAATATTCTAAGTTAGAATACTGAAGGCAGCTAATAGATGCTCCGGACTGAACGGTGTGATTTGAAAAGAAATGCCCGCTGACCCACGAGTCCCTAAATAAACTTCAACAGGCCCACAGTTCTCCAGTGCCTATAGAGCAGAGCATGTTTATTATTCAGCCCTCTCAGCTCGTAACAGGCTCTTCCACAAACACTGGAACGAATCAAATATTCCATTTCTGCCATTTTTAAATTCAAAATGTAAACCTTTACTGGTTCTCCAACCTGAGGATCTTTATGCTTTTCCTTTCGTCACAGATGACAGCAAACCAGATGGTCGGACACACAAGACGTCTGATGATGTCGCCTCGTCCTAATATCACTTCCTGGATATAATGAACTAAAACAGCCTCACAGTGAACCATAATCCACGACTCCAGCGTTTGCATGACCCAACAGGGTGCTCCGTTATGGATTATATGTAATCTTATGTAAGTTTAGTTTTTTTTAACGACATCGTCCTCAAGGTCTGAAAGACACAGAAAACAACTCTTCACACTTTAGACACATCGTAAGTCTAGAAATCAATTAACAGCAGATTTCTCACATTTCATGAGTTGATGGTGAGAATATTTTGATATAAAATCTTTTTTTTTATTTATTACTGCTCATTCCAGCTTCTCAAATGTGAATTTGACAAAACAAGAACTGCGAATATGTTAAATAATCAGTTTATGGGCTAAACATCAGTAAAGAGAATAATCAGGGGATGTATTGGTTATAATTAGCTGCAAACCTATTTACATACAACATAAGTCGTGTATGTTTCAGGCAGAAACTAAACTCTGTTGAGAGGATTCAGGCACAAAGCATCGAGCCATCAGCTACGATGAAGGCTAAACGATCGACAGGTAACATCTAGAACAAACTAATCTAACAACGCTCACCGCCGTGGATTCCCGGGACAGGAAGTCAGGAAGAAACGGTTCAGGTGCGACACAGCGAGTGAATTAGCAGCAGCGAGTCTCACCGGACCTCAGCGACCAGAGGATTAGCGGTTATACAGTCACTGTGTATTTGTGTTTGTGCTTGTGTTGCACGCCACACACTCGCTGTGTGTGTGTGTGTGTGTGTGTGTGTGTGTGTGTGTGTGTGTGTGTGCTGCAGAGGATTACCTCGGGAATGGATTTAACAAAACGGATGCCATCGTTAGCTCCCTTGATCTTAATCAGGCAGTCGCAGAAGTAATCCCAGTAGTCTTTCCTCTGGCCAAGGAAGGTTGTCTTCTCCTTCTGGTCAAACTGAGAAACACAAAGTGCCTCATTGTTACACCTGAAGTCTTCTGTGATGCCGGACTCCAGCGAGGAGCCGACAAGCTCAGCTCTGAGTCGATTCATGGGAGAAGACTGATTTATTTTCCCTTTATCTGACATTTCTCTAATCGCTTGCTTATTTTTTACTCACAGTCTCACCGCTAAGCTTTCTGCTCACAAGTTTCATTTATTTTATGACCACACAGTGATGTTTTCTTATCGTCAGTATAGTTCTCAGTAGTTTTTGACGCCTGGGAAAAAAAACTCCCGGACACACTGATCTGAACAGTGGAGCTGCGACAAAGAGTGAGTCAGCTGAGAATCCATGTTTTGATCATTTAATAAAGTTCACTTTCACTGTCTTATGTCACAGTTAAATTAAGATTATTTTTAGTCTTGGACTGTCGCTTAAACAAAACAAAAGGAATCAAGAAAACAATCTGCAGCTTGATTTTAACAAACATCTCTCGTCACGTCAGCAGCATCGCTCACTTCAAATGAAAACTGAATCACCCCATTAAACTGTAAGCAGCAGTTTGAAAGGTCCTCACTTTGTGTCGTTCAGGTTTCTGCTTCGTTTTACCACGGCTCTGTAGCGCCCGGTTTCAGCTGCGTTCTAAAGCAGTCAGTCGCTTTGAAAACCAGCAACCTGCTGCTGCCCAGGAGCCCTTCAGGAAAGAGACTCTCTGATCACGTGACAGCCGACACAGACGTGAATGTTTGTGTGAGACCAAGACTTCCTGTTGCTTCTAATTTTACCCATGAATGATCGCTGTATACGGAGAGTCGTGGCAGAGCCGCCATTGGAGAGTTAGTTAGAAAATCTTTAGCTCAGTTGCTTGAAAATGACTATGAGGTGACAGCTGGTTTCATCAGGCAGCTACTGTTTCACACTTCTAACAACAGAAACAGAACAATATGTGAATAAGAATAACAATATCGGGAACATGTGAGCACAGTGAGCAGGAGGTAAGTCAACAGATGAGGTTAGATTGCACTGAAGCACAACAGCTGCCTTGAAAACACAGAAGCCATCCAGTCCTAAAGCTTCCTCTTGAACTTTTTCTCTAAACTCTGACCTGTGGAATACCATCCATCCATCATCTCTACACCTTAATCCTCACCAGGGTCATGGGGGGCGGAGCCTATCCCAGCTGACTCAGGGTGAAGGCAGGTTCACCTGGACAGGTAACCAGTCTATCACAGGGCTACACTTAGAGACAGACAACCAAGCACACTCACATTCACACCTACGGACAATTTACAATCACCAATTAACCTCAACATGTTTCTGGACTGTGGGAGGAAGCCGGAGAACCCGGAGAGAACCCACGCTGCACGGGGAGAACATGGAGACTCCACGCAGGAAGATCCCGGGTGGCCTTCTAGCTGCGAGGCAACGGTGCTAACCACCGAGCCCAACGTGCTAAGACTCTTCAGTTGTTCAGATGCTAGGGGTGCATGAAGACTCTTGTGTTCACTCTTGCACTTGCTTGAGGAACGGCAGGAGCAAACATATCTAAACACATTTTAATAGATTTCCACCATATGGGACCCTTAAGGAAGCTTTGCTGCACCCGACATGACAACACACCTGCAGCAGGTACTCCAGTTTGTAGAAGAACTTGTGCAGGTTGGCGCTGTCGTCGGTTATGGGTTCGGCGCACTCTTTGTGTTCTCTACTCAACTCCAACACGGCGTCTGTCAGGAAAGAGTGAAGCATTGTTAGCACATCGCTGCAAAAGATCGCATCCAAACACAACTCTTTGTCGGATAAATTAATCTGTGATGCAAAACAGTTCCAGGATGAATCTATGACTGATCTGATTAAGTTCCCTGTGTGCACATTTCAAAATGTACAAACATGTAATGTGGTGTATTACATGTGCTTGATTACCGTGCAGGTCTCTGATTATCCTCTGCAGCTGTTTATCCCCAACAGACGGGGGGGTAGCCATGGTGGGGAGAGGGGTTTCTGGAGTCTGAAGGGAAATAAAGAGATTAAACTCATTTTGCATGCTTCTGAAATGTCCTCGTCATATGAGCACACTGCTCCTCATGTACCTGGATGTGCATCATGACAAACTACAGCCTGTGACTATAAACAACGTGGAGGGGGACAGCCTGTCACAACACTCCACAAATGTAAATATCCAGCAGAAGAGGGAATGGATGAGCTCGTTGGTCACACCGGTGAGCGGCGTGAGGCAGCAGGTGCAGCAGGTGCAGCACGACGGCAGGTGAGCCGCGCGTGGCCACCCTCGTCAGCTGTCACTGACACAACATTCACGTACATTTAGTGGAAATCACAAACCAGAGCCTCGCATCACCTTCACACTGTTTGAGAACGCAGCGAACAGCGACGTAAACATGGACCTGTCGACGCGCTGCAGAACCAGCACACTGGACCAGCACCTGCTCTCAGCAGCTCGGTTCTTATTTCATGTGAAATTCAGACACGGTTCACCGCAGTTCGGTGGTGAGTGGAGACAAACACGTTAGTATTAAACACACGACATCGCAGTATACGCACATGATGTGGGAAAGTGTCCGGAGCGTCCAGTTCAGCGGGTGATACAGCAGAAACTTGCTACCGTCGGAGGCGGGATCTCTGGATGACTGACAGGCGCATCGGCCAATTAGGTTGCGGCTATCGCTGCTAAGGTTGGTTGAGAAGGCAAATAGTAAATAAACACAAGAAATAAGCAGAAAGCCAGATGTGTACAAACAAACAAACACTCGTTTAAGCCAAAAAATGCTTCTAGTGTATTAATCACTCGTATATACAAAAATGTGTGACTTTTATTTAATTGTTATTATATGAACAGTTCTAACACAGTTATTAGACCACCTGTCTGAGTGTGTGTGTGTGTGTGTGTAGGTGTGTGTGTGTCATGCCGTTTAGGAAATTATTGAATGAATGAATCTATGACTTATTATTGTTCATAAAGATTATTTTACTTTATCAAACAGTATCTTCATGCCTTGTCAAACCACATTTAGGTGTTTGATCCTCAGAAAGGATCAAATGAAGCTGTGGACTCCAAAAATGCTGGTGACAGATTTGGGTAATGTTAAACAGGTTATGAGCAAATAATAGATTATGTACATTTAATAAAGTCACAGAGAAAGCACAAATCTAAACCAAAATTGATCTCCCTTTAACCCTGTAGACAGTTTTTCAAAATGCACCAGAACAGGTTTGGAAAGGAGGACTGGGTTAGCATCAAGATCAACCTGGTGAGACAACCCACACCTTCCAGAACGATGACACCAGCTGTGGGGTCTTTGTGATGCAGGCAATTCTATGAAACATACGTTTTTAGGTAAAGTTTTACTGAGTAATGCCAAACACAGAAAATGTGTTGTTTGCTAACTGTTCAGATGGCCAAGACGACGGTGATGGAATTTCCAAATGTCCCACCGTCGTTTGACGTTGACTCATCAAAACGGTCTCTTCAGCGTCTACGAAGGAGCATGGAAGAGGAAATTCTCAAAGGATCAGGTATTGTTCTAAAAACGAAATTATTATGATGACTACCTGCTACCAACTTAATTTTTTAAAATGTATTATTTACCTCTTTGCATATTGGTTTCAGTTTCAGAGGAGGATTTCTGTTCCTTCTGTGGAAGTGAGGACCTGCCCGAGACTGCAGCTGATGCCGTCTGAGTGAGGCTAGTTTAGCTGTTTCAAAACAATTAATAATATGAATGTTAGATAATATTGCCTACATTGTTTTATTCTAACTATAGCAGAATAAATATAATGTGATTGAAAAATGTATTCACTGACTGTTAACAAAGTCAGAAAAAAAAGTCAGACATTTTCATACGTACAAATTTGCTCCTTTCAAGATAAAAGCAGCAACATATGAAGCTACCATTTGTCCAAGCAATCGAGGACACCTTACAACACAGTTAGACAAACAGGCAGCAAAGCATCACGACGTTTGATCCGACAACGCGTCATTATGCTATGATAAGTTCATACAATAAATAAGCGTAAAAATCATCATCGGTGCAAAATTGTACATGACCAGATCCCGTAGAAGTGAAGCAGGCCGGTGGTTCAGAGAGTTGGGTGGCAGAAAAGGATCTGAGATCACATGAGGGTGTGTAGATGTGAAAGCATTTCAAGGGATGTGAAAGTGGTTGGTTATGAAGGGCCTTGAAGATGCTTGTGAACAGGGAGCCACTAGTTTTCCAGAGAACAGGACTAATATTCTATGAAAGAAATTCCATTAAAAAAAACAAGCAACTCTGGAATGTCTTATGTTTATGAGAGAAGGACCGTACGGGACAGAATTCATTACAGGGTGTGATCACAGTGTATATGAAAAAATGTTATTAATCAACAGGCAGAGACGATTCATCTTGTGTAGGTGGACATATGCAGAACGAGCAACAACATTAATGTGTGTTTGGAGAGATAATGTCCCGTCCACGTCCATACTCAAGGATTCGAGGCCTCCTATTGGTTACAAACACAGGTATACACGGACAGTGAAATGTGTTGTGCACCTGTTCCACACTGAAAGTGACCAGTTGGATTGTTATTGAGTCTGCTGTTTGAGGTCCAGCAGGCAGACAGCCTGAGGGAAGAAGCTCCTCCTCATCCTCTCTGTGTTTGCCCTCAGGCAGCGGTGGCGCCGCCCTGGTGGCAGCAGAGAGAACAGTCTGTGGCTGGGGTGGATGGGCTCACTGAGATCTTCCTGCCTTGAACCTGCATCGTTTGGTGTAAATGTCCTGCAGGTTGGAGAGGGTGGTTCTGATGGAGCGGACCACCCTCCTCAGGGCCAAGTGGTCCTGCTGGGTGCTGCTGCCCATCCAGGTGGTGATGCTGCCAGCCAGAACACTCTCATGGTGCAGGTGTAGAAGTTCCTGAGCACCTTGAGAGGGAGCTTAAAGGTCCTCAGACGTCTGAGGAGGTAGAGACGCTGTGGAGCTTCTTCACCAGGGTGTTGATGTGACAGGACCACGTCAGGTCCTGATAATGTTAACACCCAGGTACTTGAAGCTCTCCACTTGCTCCACCTCTGTCCCACTGATCCTGAGTGGGTGGTGTACCCTCTGCTGCTTCTTGCTGTAGTCCACAATCAGCTCTTGGTCTTGCTGACGTTCAGGAGGAGGCTGTTGTCTCTACACCAGTCCTCCAGGTGGGTGATCTCCATCAGATAGTCCTCCTCATGTTGTTGGAGATCAGACCCACCACTGCTGTGTGGTCAGCAAACTTAATGATGGTGTCAGAGTGTGATGTGGACAGGCAGTCATTGGTGTACAGTGAGTCCAGCAGAGGGCTCAGCACACAGCTCTGGGGGGCACCGATGTTCAGGGTTTCGCACTCAAACCACCTGGGGTCTGCTGCTCAAAGGAGGAAGGGGGTGACCCTGAGGGAAAGGAGGAAGTTTGGAATACAGTCAGAGAGAGGTTTAGCTACAGTAGATTTAGTACAAAGAAAAAGTTGCATGAAGGTTTGATTTGCAGTAAACGGTCAGAGAGGGACGAGAGTGGAGGAGGCGTGGTGGATAGAGCTGGTTGTCGTCAGCATAGCAGCGCAACCGATTTATAGAAAATACGGCCAAGAGGTAGATGGTAAACAACCAATGAGAAGGGGCCAAGAACAGAGCCCTGGGGAACAACCTCAGTAAGGACTGTGGTCCGAGTGTTTGACGTATGCACTGTAACGTGTGGTTAAGAGTTAAAGGGAACGATGCTCCTCACCTAAATGAAACCAGGCTGCCCTACCGTCGTCATCAGGCTGGATGATGTGAAAACAAAGGTCCGTTTCAGTTCGCTTTCGTTAGTGATACTTAAGGTTATATCTCAGTTCACCAAATGTTTGCTGACATCGCGTGAAGGACTCTGGCAGCTGTGCAACCTTTGTGCAGGTACAGTATGTCTCCGTATTTCTCAGTTATTTCTTAGAGACACAAAAAACTGCACAAATAAACACAAAATTGCAATTAAACTGTTTATTCTATTGTGTGTTTAAAACAAGCAGCTGTCACTGAGGAAAGCAACCGCTCATACTACATATTATAGGACAGAGTTAGAAGACAACCAAAGGAAGGATAATGAAATCTAACTATGATCATTTCCACAACCTGTCAGTTTAGGTTTGAAGTTAACTGAATGTAATTATGTCCAGACTGTTTTTATCTTTATTCATCTTTACACCTGGATGGCTGCAACAATATTCAGATCAAATCTGAATACCAGTGTTGGGTTGTGATTCCCATCCTGACGCTGATCTTAAAATAAGTTTTTATGATCTTGAAGTGCGCTGTATGTACACCTTTTCACCCTGAGGAGGAAATATGCTTTTAATTTTTTTAGACAAGATACAACAGACATCCTATACAATCAAAATGTCGTCACGGGTCTTAAAAAAGTCAAGTTTTTAAAAAGTTCACACCGGACCGTCTCATATTCGTCTGATTCTGTTTTTTTCTGTGCATGCATGTTGTTAAGCAAAAATCTGGGTTTGATCGGTAGTTTTTGAGTTCAGAATTCCTAAAGAAGGTGGAGTTGTGTCTATTTTTACATTGTTTTCTTCGCGCCGATTGGTGGAGCAAAGTTTGAACTTGAGAAATAATGTTGTTATAATCCTGAAAATTTGAGGGCTCGTCGATGTGTCCATATGATCTTTAATGGTACAAGTCTGCTTAGATAGGAAAATACAAACCAGCAAAATGATGGTGTCCAAACATGCCATGGTTTTTTGATTACCTTTTATATTATTTAGAAGCTTTAAACATGTCGTCTGGTGCAAACTTCATGAGAAAAGAATTAATGAGGTTGTGTTTTTTGCATTTTAAGGCGAATGTTTGATCGAGCAGGTCTGATGGTGAAAACATTGGAACTGAAGACCGTATGTACGCTTCAGTGCCAAATCTCAGGGCTGCAGCTACATTATTTCTCAAGTCATGGCTCTTCAAACATTGATCCAGAGATTAGCGATGCCAACACCATCACGACCTCTGACCTCTGTAGGAGTTTATAACAAACAACCCCCAGATTTTACACAGTCGGTTAACATTTACTAAGAACAGACTGAAGCTGGTCGGGGCATTCTGTGCACTGAGGTGGAAGGATAATAAGTTAAGAAGGAGAACATTTACCAGACTGTCTGATTTCCCTCTCTAACAAAGCCTTTCTTAAATTTAGGTTTTCTCTTTGTGCTGCAGAAAAATGACGTCAACTGAATACTATACAGACGCTACAAGCACCTCCTTTGAGTCGACCAGTGAGATCCCGTCCGACTACAGAGATGAATATAGTGACTACGGTCAATATGGTGACGAAGTGTGCGACAAATCCAGCATCATGCGTTTCGGGAACATCTTCACTCCGGTGTTCTTCTCCTTTGTGGTGGTCCTCAGCCTGCTGAGCAACATCCTGGTCATTGTGGTTCTGGCCAAGTACGAGAACCTCAAATCCCTCACCAACACCTTCATCCTGAACCTGGCTGTGTCGGACCTCTTCTTCACCGCAGGTCTGCCCTTCTGGATCTACTACCACATGCACGGATGGACTTTGGGGGACCTTGCGTGCAAAATAGTGAACTTCATCTTCTACATCGGCTTCTACAGCAGCGGCTTCCTCCTCATCCTGATGACCATCCACCGCTACATCGCCGTCATGTGGCCTCTGTCCAACATCGTGTCCACCACAGGCTGCTGCAGCGTCATAGCGTCTGTGATCATTTGGCTCGTGAGCGTCCTGGTTGCCAGTCCAGCCCTCGTCGGCACTGGAGTCGTGGACTCACATCACTGTGTGTATAAGGATTCCAGCTGGAGCTTGTATGGAATCTACCAGCAAAACGCACTCTTCATACTGAGCTCAGTGGTGTTCGTTTTCTGCTACTCTCAGATCATGTGCAGGCTGCTGCGGCCTACAGCCCAGAGAAGACGAAACAGAACTTTAAAGCTCATTTTCATTCTCATGGTTGTTTTCTTTGTGGGGTGGCTTCCTTACAATGCAGTAATATTCCTCCAGTCCTTCTATTTCTGGCCCAAAGAACCTGGCAACAGTAATGCTTTGGCAGAAACCTGTGAAGCCCACAAAAGGCTGGATTACGCGTTTTACATTAGCCGTCTTGTTGCCTTTTCACACTGCTGCCTCAACCCCGTGTTTTACGTGTTTGTGGGAGTTAAATTCAAGAACCACCTGAAGAAAATGCTGAAGAGCTGGGGCCACAGAAACAGCAGCATCCGCAGTGGGCAGAACCGACTCACCATCACGTCCATGACGAGCGGCGAGGAGTTCTCGATGTAGTCGGACCACCAGCGGAACGGAAACCTCGTCAAAAACCCACAATGTACATACGTAAGCTAGCTATAAGGCCTGCCTTGAAACAGTCTGTTGGGATGTTCATGACATATTTAGCATGAGCCAAAATCACAACAGGGAATAAATGATCGCTTGTAACTGTGTTTGGTGAAAAGAGCAACGCCGCCACTCGCTGTTTAATCACAACATGTACATTCCAAACTGATTGCTAACACGATCTAAAGAGCTTAAATACTGTGGCGTTCAATTAACCTCGCGGGCATCAGGTCATCCTGCTGAAGCGTCTGGAGAAGAATCAGTGTTGAATTTATTGAGCTGTAGCTGTTTTATAACTTTCACATGAGCTCCAGTCCTCCTGTACACGGCCATCAGACCACAATCAGTTCCTTCATTGCAGACATTCACTCCGTGACCGAAGCACACAGCCGTGGTCCAGAGTTTCAGGTTCAATGTCAGAACAGGGAAGAAATGTGATGCTTGTTTGAAGTTGGTTTTCGTGTCTTGTTGGATTCTTCTAAATGTTACAGAGCAAAAAAAAAAAAACATCCAGTGAGTGGCAGCTGTTAACGAGAGAGACGAACACCTCGTTAACGAGACGGCCAGAGGAGAATTTGGTTCAAGCTGGCAGGAATCACAGCAGCAGACTCAGACTTCCTAAACATTAAAACATGAGCGGGAAGGCACCCGACACACTGGGCTGAGTGTAAATAGTATGAGCTTCATCCTGTAGTTTAGTTAATCAATCTATAATTAAAGAGCGGTTTCAATGTGATTCACTCTGATTAATTACATCTTTTGTGTGTGTTTTTGCTCCAATCAACTCTGAATCTACATCTGCTGGAAGTGCAAAGTCTGTCTTTGTAAATAAAGATAAAAGTTGAACGCATGCCAGCGTGTACGACAGCTTCTCTCTTGTTGCTTTATATTAAAGAACACTGATGAAACCTGGTGCCGCTGCTTTCACTTCTCTATTGCAAAACACAGTCCGGTGGAAAGTCATCACAGGCGGGCGTTCAGATTCTGCTGTGTTGGTACTTTTCTCCGGTCCCGGATGGACTGAAAGCACCTGCAAGAACTGGGTTTATAAGACACAAGTGACACAAGCGCTGAGAGGAACCTGCAGCGACCCTGAGGTAAGGTCACCTCACATTTACTCTTCTAACCACAACAAAGCCGGCCAACAGGGACTTGACTTATACAATTATTAATTCATTCTTTTTGAGGACGCATAACTGTAAAAATCACACAGTTTTACTTTATGTACACTATGAAGCAATGCTAGATATTATCGTCAGATACTGTAGATTTACCAACAAGGACAAGAAACGTGGAATGAGACTCGAGACCACTGGTTAAAATGAGAATCAAAACGCTAACTTTAGATGTGCTGAACAGACAGAATGTGCACGTGTGAATGTGTTTGAGAGTTCCTCACTGGCGCTTAATTCAGATTCGTTCCATTACAACATGGCCCCCTTTCATAAGCGACACTGGACAGCGTTTTGTAACAGCGAGTCTCTCTGTGCACATTACCGGGCCGGAGCGGGATCTGAAAACCCCCCAAATTCACGTTTTTACTTCCACTGGATCAAAACTGTAAATCAGAGTCAATAAAAATGACCCTGCACACGCTGACCTGGTGCCAGTGAAGGACCTCCAGGGAGGAAAAATAAACACTGTTGATTCAATTCAATATATTGTGATTTTAAATGATTTAAAAAAGCAAACATATCCTTCTTTCTTCATCAGATCGATTGTCATTTTCCTCACAACACCTCAACGAGTAAAGAATGGCCCCTTCTTCGGATCCGTATGGAGATTATATAGAGCACCTCGACTATTATTACTACGAAATCTTAACCACCGACAACTTTGACTTTACTTTATCACATCCTCCAGGAGAACGAACAGTGTTTCAGGTCTACGCCGCTGCGTTCTGCACCCTCATCTTCTGCATCAGTTTGCCTGGAAACAGCTTCCTGCTCTGGGTCCTTCTGAAGGAACGAGCCTGGAGGACCACACACGACATCTTCCTCCTGCAGCTCGCAGTTTCCAACCTCTGCTCCACCACGACGCTGCCCTTTATGGCCAGCAATGCCCTCAACAGCTGGGTGTTTGGGTGGACGGCCTGTGGAGCTGTGAGAGGGTTTTTTTTCCTGGGAATGAACAGTTATCCAATAATAGTCACTGCCATGGTTTTGCATTCTTACATTACCGTGGTTCACGCTTCACGTGTGTCTGCGCAGGCCTTCAGTAAACGCCGAGTCCTCGTGGGCAGCATTGTGATGTGGCTGCCGTGTGCTGCTGTGAGCATCAGGGACTCGATGGATAGTGTGGCCATACCCCTAGGTGAAGATGAGATGTGTACAGGTGTAGAGTCGGCCTACTCGATGACTGTTAGCGTGTCCTTGGGTATGACCTTATTCTTCCTCCTTCCTTTAGCTATCATCACATTCTGCTACGTCCACTTGTGGATAACTATCAGACAGGGCAGGATAAACAGACAGGACCAGCCCTCCAAACTGATTCTAGGGATAACTGTTGGTTATTTCCTTTGTGTGGCTCTTCACCACATCACACTCTTAATGAACTCCCTGTACTTAGTGAACATTTTCAGATCTACAGCGTACCTGACGCACACGGTGCACTGTCTGATGTTCATCAGCTACCCACTGACTCACTTCTATTGCCTTCTGTATCCTCTGTTCTACATACCTGGAGCCCAGAGGTTCAGGAGGCATCTCCCCCAACGCTGTCAAAGAAACAGAGATGACAGTTCAGTGGCATTAGTCAATCTGCTAGAAACATGTGAAGACGAGGACATGATAGTTTGTCACGCCTTAACAAGCCGTACTTCGTGATTAGAAGGAACTCCTGACAGACGCCGGCCGTGAACGTTTGACTCGCTTCTTGTTTGTGACGGCAGCTTACAACTTGAAATGAATTTGTAGTTTGATTTTAGCTGCCAACAGCTGCAGGTTACATTAGCGCAGACACTTAAATGTTGTTTTTTATTTGCTTGTGCTTTGGCAAAGATAAAAAGACACCATCCAGACATGTGGAGGGATGTCCTTGTCTTGTTTGATTTTCACCACACGACTGATTGCAACAGAACAACAAGAAAACAAGAGTACTGATGAATCACTCATCGGGGGAACTACTCCTGTAGATTTCATCAGAGACGCTCAAACCGACACATAGTGAAAGACTAGACAGGATGCAGCAGAACTGACGTTTGATGGTAAATGCAGTATTGGTTTATAGGAAAGAGGAACAATCAACTAGGATAACTGTAAACCAGCTTTGTCTCTAACGGTGAAGAAAAACAGCAGCAGATTGAAATATATGAAACCAAATGTGGCGTCTTCGTTGTCATTCTTCTCTACGGATCCCGTTGTTGTGATGATGTGACTGTATTGAACAAATCAGCCCACAAGGTGGCAGCAGAAATGAACGGGAGTCTTTCTGATGGCAGCTCCTTCATGTCGTTTTGTTTTCAGACCAATCATGATCATGTGATTTATGGTTGTTTTGTTGAATCGTTTCAGTCTTGTGCTTCGACGTCACACTAACAACACCTGATGTTTTACAATCCGACTGCTTGTATTGTCAGTCACACTGTCTGTAAAGAATGTCTGATCTCCTGCTATCAGCCATCTGAGTCTGAATCAAATGGCTTGAAAACAGGGATTTGTAACGTACGATGATTCATCTGGTGTCCGTCCTCTAATTAAATGTGGTTATCGACCTTCCAACAAACTGTCTTTCTGTTTTTATAGCGTGCATGTCATTTCAAATGCGTTCTATTACAGCTGGCATAAACTGCATGATTCACTCTGATCAACTACAATGAGGACTTTTAATTCACACATTTTCACATCCTGTCATCAGCATTATTCTCATGCTTTTCAAAAAAAATC